CCCCCCGGAGCCGCCCCGTGCCCGATTGCTTGCTCGCCCCTCTCCTCGGCGTGTCTTCCTATCGATCTCTTTGTGTCACTCACAAGGACGATTTTTAGTGGTGGTGCAAGACACACAGCGGGCAATGCTCTCCCTCTCCCAGCTTCGGAGCAAGGCAGAGGGCAGCCATGGTGAAGGTTATGGGGGACGCGGCTGATCACCGGAGTTGGACATGGTTCAGAGGGCTGAAGTCTGGAACCGGGCCGGTGCGAAAGAGCGCGTCATCACTGGCCAGGTCGGCTGGACTCGTAGGTGGATGCAGCTGGTTGAGACGCTCGATGGCCTCTTCGACGAAGGTCCCAAAGGCGGATGGCTGGTCATGGAGAGAAAATGGCCGGAGCCGGCCGAACAGCTGCTGAAAGATGGCTGTAAGGGGCAGTCGGGAGGAGGCAGAAGGTTATGGAGGGGGAGAGAGGAAGAGATAGGGTGGTCAGAATCCCAGGTCAGGAGGTGGAAAGAGAGAGAGAGGGAGAGAGAGAGAGAGGGAGGGAGAGGAAGAGGGAGAGGGAACGGTGCGCGGGAAATGGGGCCGCGCTTGTTGGGCACGCATGCGCACATGTGTGGTCTTGCCTGAGCCCGGCTACGAGAGCCCAGTCGGCCGACGTGTCACAGCCGAGCAGCAACGAAGCCAGCTGCTCAGCCGGTTCATCATCCTCGTCCATGTCCAGAGAGCAGATCTACCAGGACGAGGCAGAAACGGAGGCGTCAGGATCGATAGAGAGGGGGACTGTGCACATTTGCATGTGCAAATCGTGCATGGCGACCACGCCCGGCAATGGGAGGGGCGACATCGGGGACGGGGGATAACGTACCGGGTCGGAGGGGATGCGCTTTTGCAGGAGATGCGTCACACGAAGTGAGAAGTGGGCTTTCAGATAGCAGGAGGTGATCAGGCTGCAGGGTGACGGATGAGGAGGATGTCAGCCGTGGGATATTGCGCGCGCGCGCGCATAGATCAGTATGTGTCAATGTGCGTGTGGGAGGAAGGCTCGTTTCCATTCCCCATTTGTAGCATCGTGCGATGACGTGCTTCCATCGCTCCCTCTCTGCGCCTCTTCGCCACCCCAGGCCCCACCTCAACCGCTGCCGCCATGCATACCTGAGAAGCTGCAGACTAATTGCAAGAGCCCGCCCGTTGGCTGAAGCCACATCGGCCAGACCCAGCTGCTGAATGAGGTCGTAGCCTTGATTCCGCAAGCGGAAAATGTACCGGCTGAAGGCCGGCCAGAGGGTGGCGTTCTTTTGGTCGTGCTGCAGAAAGAGGACCGCCGAGCACAAGTACAGAAAGAGGTACCGGCGAAGAATTTGCAGCAGGCCCTCGCTGCTGTAGTCGCGGTCGGCCGGGGCCGAGCGCATGCGCTCCTGCAGCCGCGTAACCATGGCCGGGATGTTGCGCGCTTCGCGGAAACGCTGGAGGAAAATTTGCGTGCTGATGACCGCGTCGCCGAGGCTGCGGAGTTGCCTCGACAGGAGCAGGTGGTCACGCTCGGGGGATGGCGGGCCAACGGCACTGGCCGGCGCCACGGCCGACATGCCATCCCCGCCCGAGACGCGGCCGGTGCGTGCCTGCCGGGGGGGAGGATCGTCGCGTGGGTCGTGAGTCGAGCTGTCGCGCAGCCGACTGCCGGGACGCGTGCCGGCCGGACGCTTGCGAGGCCGGTCGCCGGGCGAGACACTCCGCGATCGGCCATTTCCAATGACACGGTCCCGCCGGCTGACCCGATCATCGCTAGCCGCCAATCGAGTGGGTCCGGAGCGCGCCCGACCACGAGGAGTGTCCGACTCTTCGTCGGTGCTGTTGCCGCCATTGTCGAGGTCCGAAGAGAGGCCCCGGTTTGTGGTCCGTCCTGCGGGCCGCCCGGCGGGGGCACTGTTGGGACGAGCGGGCCGTGTGTCCGTTGCTGTGAATGCCTGCTGATCCGCTCGGGCCCGGTCAAAGCGCTCCGCATCCGGGGCCTCGTCATCGGACTCCCAGTTGAAGGGGACCTGGTCGGCGGCCCGGCGAGGGTGCCGAGACCGACGGAGGTCGGATGCCGGGGAAACCGATCGGCGACCCCTCGAGGAGGAAGGCACGGGGGAGGCCGAGCGCCGACGCCGCGCGGTGACAGGCCCCGGGGAAATGGATCGCCGAGAACGAGGCGAGGAGGGAGAGATCGAGGGACGCCGGCCGCGGGAAGGCACAGAAGAGGAAGAGGAGGAGGAGGAGGAAGAGGAGGAGGAAGAGGAGGAGGAAGAGGGGGATGGACGCCGGAGATGGTCCATCTCGTCGGAGGAGGCACGCGACCGGGGGGACGGCCGGGGCGGCAGCCGGCTTTCGGGCTCCGCGCCCCGCCGGGAGGCCGATGCACGACGTGCCACCGACGGGGGCGACCGCGACCGGGATCGCGATTGGGACTGGGAATGGGGCCGCGATGGCGACCGTGACCGTGACCGTGACCGTGACCGTGACCGTGACCAAGACCGGAGGGTGCGCGACCGCGACCGCGGCCGCGGCGAGGGCGATCGCGATGGAGTAACGCGGATTTCCGGACGCCGGGGCCGCGAGGCCGCGGGCCGATCAAGATCGCGGGTGGCATCCGATTGAGATCGAGAACGGGGCCGGTCGAGTGTGTCGATTTCCGAGGCCGAGTCCGGCCGGAGCCGGCTTGTGGCGGTGCCAGGACCGGTGCCCGAGTCGCCTGCGTGGGCGGTGGCGCCCCGGTGGAATCGCGACACGTCGGATCCCAAATGACGCCGGGGCGATGGATCGCGCGCCGGAAAGGCCGCCACGGAGCGTAGGTCCGGGCTGCTTGGGTGCGAAGCGCCTCCGCCCTCGGCCGCCGAGGTGCCGGTGCCGGTGCCGGTGCCGGTGCTGCTGCTACGCCGGTCGCTGCGCTGGCGCTTCAGCGGAGGGGGCGAGTGCTCAGCTGTCGTTGGCGGCGTGGTGCTTGACAGGAGGCCGGTGCCTAGGATGGTGTGGAGATGGATGTGGTGGCGGGCAGGCCATTTACGGAGTGAATACGGCGCAGGTGATGGGGCTGGTCATGCGGGATGTGGGAAAGGGATCGAAAAGAAGGAGCCCAGGGCGGAGGGGGCAGCCTACCCTTGGAAATGGAACCCCCACTGTCGGAGGGGCTCTCGGCATCAGTGGTTTCCCCCAGGGACCCAGGAGAGAGCCCCTGTGTGGGGGAGTCTGATATCCGCTTGCGGTCGGGCATGTGCTTGTCTGCCAAGGCTTTTTTTGGGGAGGGGGAGGTAGAGGGGTGAGAAAGTGCAAGAAAAGGGGGAAAGAGAAAGAAGGAGAGAGGGCGAGAGAGGGCGAGAGAGGGCGAGAGAGGGCGAGAGAGGGTGAGAGAGGGTGAGAGAGGGTGAGACGGAGCGACATGAGTTGGTGGTGGATGGGCAGATATGTGTGTGTGTGTGTGTGTGTGTGTCTGTGTTGGTGTGCAAGTGTGCTCGTAAGCACCACAACCTGAGACTTACCTGCTTTCTGTGAGGAGAAAATCGCGTCGAAGCGGCGGATCTGCTCGAAGACCACTGCCGGCATGGGCTCCGGCAGGATTGCCATGCGCTGAAATTGGGCACAAAGCAAGGAGCGAGAAGGAGGTGAGTGCGGGCCCAAGGCAGGGCGAAGCAGAAAGCGAGAGAGCGAGAGAGCGAGAGAGGACGCTGGAAGGGGGGGGGGGGTGGATAAAGACGCGGGTACTTACGGCGAGGATCTGGTTGGTTGTGAGGGTGTGGGGCTGAGGGAAGGGAGGACAGCCGGGGCGAGGAGGCCGCATATTAGACAACAGCACGACCGGCAAAAGGGTGAGAGGAGGGAACAACATCGGCGAACGATCGGGGCGCGGACGCACAGGCTGATGCGCGAACCCAAGCAAGGCGTCGGACTGCTGGGAGAGGGGCGGTTGGCCGGCCGGCTTTAGCCCGAGGGAGCCCCCGGAAGCCGGCGCTACCGGTGCCAGACTCCCGGGGGAGCCGATGGGGCTGGGGTGGCTGTCGCCGCGGCGCCCAGACGCCGGGGCTCGGGTTCGGACGTGCGAGTAGATACTGAAATTCGAGCTGTCATTGTATGGCGCCGGCGAATCCAAGGGCATTATCTGCGCAGCCGGGGCGAGAAGGACAGGGAGATGGAGGAGGAGGCGGGGGAAAGCACTTTCTGCCGCTGACTCGCTCTCTTGCTCACTCCTCTTGTGTGATGCGTTGCTGGATGGGGAGGGCGGGGGGATAGCCAGAGGTCCTTGTCGAGGAACGGGACGGGAGGAGGAGGTGGAGGAGGAGGGGGTGGGGGAGGAATGGGAGGGGGAGAAAGGAGGGATGGGAGGCCGGAAGCCTGAGAATGCTAGAAGCAAAGCCGAGTCGCCGGGGACATCAGGGCAGTCGGTTCTTCAAGGGGACAGGGAGGAAAAGGAGGCTGGCGGGGGGGGTGCGGAGTGGGACAGGGGGTAGGCGTGCCAGTGGATCTCTCTGGCGACGCAGGGCAGCGACAAACCAGCAAACCAGGAACCGGGGGGCGAGGGAGCAGGCGCAGGAGGGTGTGGAGGAGTGTCAAGGGCTGCGGAGGCTTCCCCTGCGGGGCCGGGGATGCTTCCCCTTCGGCGGCCGGCGGTTGCGGGCCAGTGTGCGGCGTGAGAGCTGGCTCCTTCTCCCCTCGGCCGCTGCCTTTCCTGGTGTGTGTATGTGTGTGTGCCGCTCAGGCAACCACATCATGTCTGTTGGCGACGCCCGACGCACCATGCTACCACTTGCCAGGGGGTCCCGGGGGGGGGGGGGGGGGGGAGGCCGATCTCCCTGTTCTGGCGCGAGCCCGACGCCCTGATCCCCCTCGCCCAGGGCCATTGCCCCTGCACCCTCATGGTAACCTATCCAACACCAGAGGGACTCCCGGCCGGCCTGTTGCCCGCCTGGGCGTGTGCGTAAGCCCGGAGGGGGGCCGGCTCAGGCGTCAGCATGCGCGGTGCCGGGATCTGGCAGGCCCCGGCGGGCGAGGCAGGGCAAGACGCACGATTGGCACATCCGACCGCGCGTGGATCGGGCCCGGCCGAACGCGGGGGGATTTTATTTTCCGCCCCGCCCCGCCCCGCCCCGCCCCCCCCCCCCACCCCCCCCTCGGGCGCACGCATACACACGCACACCCCCGCTCGCGCGTGCACACGTACCAAGCCGTCCCCGGAACGCGGAGTTGTGGGAGGTTGCCGCGTCGCTGGACCAGTCCGGCTGTAGTGCTGCCCCCCGTGCCCACCCCCATGGGGGGGGGGGGGGGACTCTGCCGCACTCCAACTGCCCAGTCCCTATCGCCTGGCGCGGCAGCCGGGCCGGGCCCGCGATCGGGGGGAGGGGGGGGGGGCCCCGGCGGGCGTGTGGATGTGCGATCTTTGCTCATGTCGCTCTTTTGGGCCGGGAAGATACCGCGCCCCTTGTGCCAGGTCCCCGGTCTCGGGCCGCGTCCCGGATGTGGCGAGGCGCCCGGCCGTCGAGGAGCAGCGGATTGAGGGGTGCGCAGGCGGGACCCGGGTGCGCAGGCGGGGGCGCGGGGGCGGGGGCGGGGGGGGGGGGCGGGGGGAAGGGGCAGCACGAGATGGGAGAAAACCCCCCGGAGCCCGAGCACGGGCCGGGAACACAAACGCGGACCCGAGTGTACCGGCGATAGGAAACGGGCGAATGCGGCGGCGCGCCCGGGTTCGGACCGGCCCGGGGCGCCCGGCCAGGCGCTATCGTGCCATCTTAACCCTCGGCCCGGCACCAGTGCCGCCAGGTGTGCGTGCGTAGGTGCGTGCCGAAACACGTACGGCCGCGCGAACCGGGGGTGCGTGGCAGCGCGGGGGTGATAACGCGGTTTGGGCGGCGCCTGGCGCGGGTGATTTCCCTCGGGCGGAGGGCCGGCAAGCCGGCGGGGGTGTCAGCAGCTTGCTTGTGAGAGCGCGCGTTCGGGGGGGTGTTTACACACCTGCACTCCCTGGCCGCATGCATCTTCCCCGACCGGGTGGGCTTTTCCTTTTCCCGGCTGGGCCGCCGGGCGGGGGGGCGGCGGGGGGGGGGGTACTCCTCCGCCCCCTGGCTTTCAGAAAAAAGTGAAAAATAAAAGAGCGCGGCCCTGGGAAGGCATCTTCCCGGCCGGGTGCCTCCCTGGCCTCTATTTTTGGGCGACGCCTTGTCGGCTCTGCAAGTTGGTGCCCCAGCGCCGGCCCGGCGAACACGAAGGGGCCCCCGTCCCCGGGGGCAACGCGCGCCCATGCTCACTCGCACACACACACACACACACACACACACACACACGTCCGCCCGGTCCGCCCCGGCCCCGACCCGGGCCCGGGCCCGAGCCCGCCCCAACCAGCCTCCGGGCCCGCCCGGTTTCGGACCGCCCTTCGGTCCTCGGGCATGCGCGCTTGGACCGGGCATCTCTAAGGACGGGAGCGGGACATGGGGGAGAGGGGGGGGGCCTGTGCCAGACACACCACGGGCGCTCCAGACAGCTGAAGATGCGTGGGGGATCTCCCCGCCCGGCGCCTCGCCTCGGCCCACCCCTAACCATGGAATTATGCAACCACCCAACGACAGGGCCACCACGCCCCGCACGGAAGACTCGCCCGGCCACGGATGCCCGCTGCATGCTCATTCCCGGCCTCACCGGCGCTCCCTGGTCGCATTCGCCGCGAGACCCCGACAGCGGTCCGCTCCTGTGGCAGGAAGATATTTGGTTATCGTTCCTCCGCCCCCTCCCTGGCCGGTATTCTCGCCCTCCTCTTCTCCTGCTTTTCTCCTCAGCCTCTTCTTCTTCTTCTTCTTCCTCCCGCGCGGGTCTCTTTCTCTCACTTCCTCCTGGGGCCTTGTGCCTGGGCAGGGGTGTAAAGGAAAGAAGCGCGAAGGCTTCCGCTCCCGGTGTCCCCCCCCCCCCCCGGGGCCGCATCAGTGGGGGCGGGGCAGTATTAAGCAGCCTTGTCAGATGCCAACCGAGTGCCAGTCACCCGGCGACCTTCTGGAAACATTCTCCCCGCCAAAGGGCCCCCGGGGCCCGGTCGGGCCACTCATACGCCCCGGCAGGCTGGTTAGCACATGCATACACACCACACACACACTCACACACTCACCACGCCCCCCTTGCGCTTACATGTCTGCACACGGCGGGCACCGCGGCCCAGACGCCCGCCCAGTCAAGCTACGCACATGCAGCCGTGTGTATTTTTGTCGGCGTCTTGGACCGAGGAGGGGAAGGGGGGGGGGGGGGCGGGTGCATTTCGCGCCGTGGCAGGTGTGTCACTGGCGAGCGCTCCGCTTGTGCTATGAGTTGGCAGTAGCGCCCTCGATGCCAAAAGTCATGTTACCCGCCGTCGTGTGACGTCAAAAGGGCTCCCTGGCCGGGCGTCCGGGCATGGGCTCGATCGTTGGCAGCACATCGGTGTTATTGTTTCTCCCCACCATCGTCATCCGTCCGGGCGCCTGTGGCCCCTCACCTCTCTCGCCCTCGCCCTCGGGGAACAGCCACCGGGGCGGCGGCCGTCGGTCTTCTCGCTGAGAAATGGGACACAGGACCTCTGCTTGCCTGGGAGGCGGGTGGGACTGCATGGGACAGGAGAGGATCGACAAGAAGTCTGGATGGCTAGGGAGGAGCCTGGACGCGTGTGTCTGAGAAAGAGATAACAAGACAGAGAGAGGGAGAGAGAGAGAGAGAGAGAGAGAGAGACAGAGAGAATGGCAAAGTATCTTGGAGAAGTGGTCCTGGCGCGAGACGACGGGCGGGGGCAGCAATAAATGCCGGGCCATCGTGGTCACCCCCTCATTAGCTGGTAGTCTCTCTCACTCACTCACTCTCTCTCTCTCTCTCTCTCTCTCTCTCTCTCTCTCCGGCTGCTTGCCCTCCTCCGCTGCGGCGGCCCCTGCCCCCTCCCCCTCGCCCCCCCCCCTTTCTCGCCCTCCCGGCCCCTGCCCCCTCCTCCTCGCCTCACCTCGTTGCCGGCCCTTTCTTCGGCACCTTCCCCCGCCCCTCGTTTGGACTGCTATGCCCTCGATACAGGTGACCCAATATTCCTGGTGCGCAGTCGCCTGGCCAGCAATCGCCGTCCCCCCTGCTCCCTGGCGGCCTGCTCACCTTCTGCATCAGGGACAATGATCTTGAAAATGCCTCCACCCTGCTGAGCGATCTGTCCCGATCGGCGCTCAGCTCGCCGGTCGCCTCGCCCGACGCATATGCCGGCGGCACCGGGTCCCTGCTGGAGTCCATCCGGTCCATCGAGGAGTCCCTGCGGCTTCTGGAACAGGCCCTTGAAATGCATGTTGCTCAGAATCTCATGTGCGTGTGCTGCCCGCACGCCCGGGCGAGCGGCCCTCCCGCCGGATTGCGCCACGCATGTGCCCCCGATCGCCGGGCACTCTCGCTGCCCCGGCTGCAAGACTGATGTACATACTCCTCCCTCGGTGGCATGCCCGTGGCAATGCCCAGCTCGCAGAAGCAGTATCACCTGCGTAAGGGTAACCTCCAGCTTGTGCGCGGTCAGCTGGATGACCTTCGCCAGACCATCCGGTACGGGGCCCCCCTAGGGCGCCGCTTTGCCGGGCCCCTGCTGTCCTGCCGGCACGCATCCGCCTGACAAGCTGCCCATCCGCCCCTCCCCCGGCCCGGTCCCAACAAAGTACCGCCGCCGCAAATGCCCCGCGCAGCCGCCGGGCCTTCGGGGCCGGTGGACGAAGCGACGGCTCCGAAAGCCAGCCCCTTCTCGCTTCCGGAGCCGAACATTACTCCTACACCGACCCGCAAACGGCGCTCCTCCAACAGCAGGACATCATGAGCCAGCAGGACCAAAGCATCGCACGGCTGGAGGAGGCCGCCCGCCTGCAGAAGGAAATCGCCATCTCCATTCGGAGCGAGGTCAACGACCAAGTGGGTGCGTGGGTGCCCCATTCTCGGGGGCTGCTCCTCCGTTTGCCCATGTGCTTCCGCCCGGCTCCCGGGCCCTGGGGGATTGCTCGGCTCCTCACGCTCGGCCTTGGGCGTTCCACTCTATTCCCATCTCCTGCGTGCTTGCCCCCCACCCCCCTCATCCACTGCTGACCATTCCCCCCCCCTCCCTCTCCTCCCCCAACCCGGCGGCCCCTCCGTCCCCGTTCCACCTCCACAGACATGCTGGACGGATTGATTGAGAGCTCCGCCAAGACGGAGCAGCGTTTGGTCGAGGAAAATCGCAACATGCGCCAGTACTCCACCAAGGCAAAGATCGGCGGTACGTCTCGCCCTCTCTCTCTCTCTCTCTCTCTCTCTCTCTCTCTCTTTCTCTCGCTTGTCCCCCCGGGGCCCCCTCACCCTGCGCCTCGGCTGGCGGTGTGGGCGGGTCCGGGATTTTCCGTCTCCTTTCTCCGCTCGGGCGGCTGGGTCGCCGTCGCCACCGCCGAGATGCCAACCCTCCTGCGGGGACCGCCTGGGCACCAACGCATCCATTGACACTCATCGGATCTCCTGGACCCCTTTTTCTCTTTCCCCCCGCCCGCCTCTTGTTGCGGCCGCGGTCGGGGACACGCTCACACTGTCACCTGTGTGGGGACGGACGGGGGCGCGCGCGCGCCCCGGCATGGCACCACCCCGGCCGCCGGCGCGCCCTCCAGGCTCCATGTGTCTTGTGGCGTCCTTGATTGTGGCGGTTGTCGTGCTCATCTTCGTCCTGTTGTGCTCTGTGGGGGGGGCGCTTGGGGTGGTGCTCCCCCTCGTGGGTGTCGGGTTTCGTGTCCCCCCCCCCCCCCCCCCCCCGCCCTGCTCCGGGTCCTCCTTCAGCGCCAAACCACCAGTGCAATATACGATAATCCACCCTTGCGAAGCCGTCTTGATTGTTTATGGCGCCCCGGCGCATTCCTTCGCCGGGGACGCGTGCTCGCAAGGGCAAGCGCTGTCACAGGCCCGGGCCATGATGGCCTGGCCCCCTTTTTCCTGCACATGGAGCCGGCCCAGCAGCCGGGGGCCCTGTCGATCTCCGGCTCAGATCGCCCGTCCGAGGCGGGAGGAGGGCAAAAAGAAAAAAGCGCCCCCGCCGCAATGCGACATCCAGCCGGGCAGATGCGACGCGGGCTTGCTTGCCAGCCGGTCCGGGCTGGGTCGGATCGATCCTCGACGTCGAATCTGGCCCGCGCGCCCCGAGAAGGCCTCTCCCTTTTCGGGCAGCGGGCCGGCCCGTGTGCACCACCGGAGACACCCCTCTGCCGCTCCCACCCCTTCACGGGCGCCCCTCCCTCTCTCCCCTCCTCAACTCCTGCACGCATATTTCATGCGCACGCTTGCGTGTGAATTCTTTCTCCCACGCACACACACACACACACACACACAAGCCCCGGCCAGCCGTTCGTGAGCCTTGCTCTGGCATATGGAGGGCCGCATCTCGGAAGCACCAGGCCTCCATCCTCTCGGGCGATGAGGGATGACGCGCTTCTGCACCCCTTGCCAGGTCGGCCACCCACATCCGCGAGTGCGGGCTTCTGGACTTTGCGCCGGCGCCTGCGCTTGCCCCGGCGCCTGCGAGATTTCGGCATCCTGCTTGGCCTGACCGCCGGCCTGCTGTACATGCTGGCCGGCTGGCCCGGGCCGCCCGACGGACGGCATGCGGCCGAACCACCGATCGAGGTCGCGCGCGGGGCAAAGTCCCCGCCCGAGCGGCCATTGGATCTGGCGCCGGCGGCTCCCCCGAGCCCGGATCCCGCGCGGCTGGACGTGATCGCGGCGGCCGCCGACTCGACGCGGCTCGGTCGCTTCCTGCGTAGCTCCACCGGGGGTGGGCACTGGCTGGCCGGCTGGGAGCCCCTGCCGATGGTGGCCGGCGCTGCCTCGACCGACTCCGACACCGGCCCGTCCTCGGACGAGACTTCTCACGGCCCACGATCCGCACGTCACTTGGTGCTCGTGGTGCCTTGGCACGACGAAGCGGACCCCGGCCGCCGGGCCGAGTACCTGGCGGCTCTGCGGCGGAATTTGGCCCTCCTCGAGGCCGGGCCCCTGGGCTTGGACCGGGTGGTCCTGCTGGTGGCGGCCTCGGGCCGGGAGGCCCTTGTCCCAGGGTCGGACGAATTCGACTTGCCAGCCTCATCGGATGCCGTGGCCGCCATGGACGCTCTGGCAGGGGCCGACCGGGCCCGGGTGGCCATTCGCCTGGTTCCCTCGGTGGGGTCGGTCCTACAGGCGGCCTCGCGTGCTGGGGTCCGGCAAACGGACTTGACCGACCTCCAAGGCCGGGTCAGCCTATGGCATGCACTGCGAACGGCGGATGCCGCGTGCGCTGCCCTTGGCGACGCGTGCTCGGGGCCTGGACGCCGGTGCCCCCGGCCGGAGTGTGTTCGCATCCTTGCCAATGCTGACATCTCCCTGGACGCCTCGATCGGGTGCGCACCGTGTGCCTTTTCGCCTGCCGAGGGAAGGGCCTCTCGCCGCATGTGGCGCCGCTCCCGCGACTAACTCCATGCTTTGTCTTGGCTGCCGGGGGCTGGCCTGAGGAAGTTTGCTGCGCCTTGACCCGTGGCTCGGCCGCTTTGACGGCGATGCCAACTTGGGTGCCGATGCAATGGCCGAAGATACGCGTGCGGCGGATTTGCTGCAACGTGCCCGGCGATCCCGGCGATCGGTCGAGCATGTAGCCCCTCCGGGGGGCGGCCCGGCCAGCAAGCGCATTGCGTATTTCCTTTCCCGGTAAGTTGCCTGCTCTCATGCTCAACGCTCCTGCTGCGTTTCCCCGGTCGCGCCTCTTGCTGACCCGTGGCCCCGCCACTTCCACATCCACACACCGATGCACACCTACGCATGGGCATGTGGCTATTTTGGGGGGGGGGCGGACCCTTCCCCAGGCATGAGGCTGTCTCTTCGCCACTTGCGCCGGACATGTGTGGAGAGGCGTATGCTGGCAGCCATGATGTGGTGGCCTGGATGCATGGCCTCGATGAGCAGGCCGACTATCGGGTATATCGCGACCGGTCTGCCGGGGCTGGGAAAGCTCCGCGTCCCCTGCCAAAGGAGGATTTGGCCTTGATTCCTCTCGGAAGCGTTGGCTATGAGAACCGGCTGATGTATGAGTTTTCCGCGTCCGGGCTCTTTATCCCGATGAATCCGTGCTTCAGCATTCGCAGGTGCGTGCCCCTCTGGGCCAAGCCCGTCTGGGACGCCATGGGTCCCGGTCGGCTGCTGCTGTTGCCGCTGCCGCTGGCGTTGCTGTTCATGTTCCCATGTTCGCTGCCACCGATCCGCACTGTCACCATGGTTGCTCCGGCCGCCGTCAGGACTGCCTCCGTGTCTTCCATCGCCCCCGCAACTAACCCGCCTTCACAGCTTTCACCACCACCAGTCTGGCCGCCGCGCGTGGCGGGCCCCAAGCACGGACCGGTCCATCGACGTGTGCTCTTCCGATCTGTTGCTCCGGCCGCCGTCAGGACTGCCTCCGTGTCTTCCATCGCCCCCGCAACTAACCCGCCTTCACAGCTTTCACCACCACCAGTCTGGCCGCCGCGCGTGGCGGGCCCCAAGCACGGACCGGTCCATCGACAGCCTGCTGTCCGGCTTTCGGGCCAACACCGATGGCCGGTCGCTCTATGTCCGGCCGACCTTTCACCATTTGGATCCGCGCCTGGCCGCCGGCCGGCCGGCGGATGTCTGGCGCGACCTGTTTTTGGCGTACGACCGCGAGCAGGTCCGCCCGTATGTGGACCTGAAGTTGATCGGGTGGATTCTCCGGCGCTCGGTGCGTCTGGTCGATGATGAGGCCACCGATCAGGCAAGATCGGAAGAGCGTCGTGTTTTGGCGTACGACCGCGAGCAGGTCCGCCCGTATGTGGACCTGAAGTTGATCGGGTGGATTCTCCGGCGCTCGGTGCGTCTGGTCGATGATGAGGCCACCGATCAGGCAGGCATTGCGGCCGAGGTGGCCGAGTCCGATGCCGTGGTCGGTGCCCAGCCCGAAACCCTGTGCCGGGTGCCGCTGGCCCTGCGGGACCTGGTTGCTGGCTTCTGCGATCGCCTGCGCCGGGTGTCCGGCAACAAGCGCAGCCGATGGGACTGCGACCTACTTCCATGCGAGGTGATCGACCCGCGGCAGGCCCTCTCGCAGCGGGTGCGTGTGGCTGTCCTCCTCCGCCGCCTGCTCTTTCTCCTCTTGCTTCCCCTTGGTGGCTGTTCTTCTCTTCCTCGGGCACTTGTTCATGGCCACATTCTTCCTGCCACTGGCGAGACTTCCCACCAGGACCTCGCCAGGCATTGACACGTTTGCCCTCGGGGGGTGGCTATTGGCCGATTCCAGTTCACGTGCGGTGCGGCGCCACACCAAATTGTGTGTGAGCGGTGGACTTCGCTGCCGGGTCTCTTTCGGCGGCCGGCCGGCGCGCTGGCCAGTCCCGAAGGCGCCGGCGCCCTGCCGGTGCACTATGAGGGACGCTTTGCGGCCGATGCATCCTTCTTCGATAAGGTGCGCACGCCTACCCCCTCGCCCCTTTCCCCCCCCCCTCGGCCCCGCGCGGCGGTGGGCCTCGCATAGTGGTGTTTGGCGGCTGACACAAACTCCCGGGAGGCCAGCTGGCCAAACTGGCCCAAGCCAACAAGGTGCAGCACATCTTTTCACACATGGGGGAAAGCCTATCGGGCCATCCGGCCGCCTTGCGCGCGGTCTTCCTCCAGACGCTCAGCCCTGAGCCGGAGGATCGCTTTGGCTTGGCCACATTGGCCACTCGAGCCGAGCAGTGCACCGACCGGCTGGCCCTGCCGGCTCTGCCGGCGGACCTCCTGCCGCCGGCCAACATGCCGCCGGTCTTTGGCTGGAGCATCGGACATATGTCGCACTTGTTCCGGGATCGAAGCTGGCACTATCTGCGGCACTTGGATCTTGGCTCCTTCGCTTCGGACCGCACTGGTACGCATGCGGCAGGCAGCGTGCCTCAGCTGCCCTGGCGAGGGGGGGGGACACCGCAGAAAGGCCCAGGGACAGGCTCCGCCATGGCCACTGACAGGACCAATCGTATGTCGGGGCAAATGTGGGCAACACGAACGGCGCGCATCGGCACGCACACCACATGTGCACATTCTTGCCTTGCCGCCCTCTCCCCCCACCCCCCTCCCTGCCCATCTGCCCTGGGATGGCACCCGTGACCGGACGCACCAGCCAGCGATTTGGCCCTCGAGTGGCGCCAGCGCCCCGGGGGGGTGCTCTTCTTGGCGCACAATTGTCGTAACGCCTCGTGGCGAGCCCAGAGCGTCCTGGCTCTGGATCGGGCTCTCCGGCGAGGGTATTCCCCCGATGCTCGTGGCGGTGCCTTCGATCTGGCCCGGGTGGTCCCGGCATCCGAAGCACCGGGGCGAGTCGAACAGCCCGGGGGCCCCACCACGGCCACTGCCACCGCCACCGCCACCGGTTCCCAGGCGACCGCCTTCGCAGAGACCTCCTCGGTGTCTGGCTCAGTCGATCGGCCGGGCCGGTGCCTGAATAACATGGCCTGGCCGCTGCCAGCCCAGTGTCACCCGGACGCCGTGGTCCTCAGCCCACCGCTGCTGGCGGAGTGCCGGGAAATCGCCCAAACCGAGCGCGAGGGCGGCCGTGCCGGTAAAATCGCCCTCATGCGCCGGTACCGCTTTGTGGTGTCCATCGAGAACGTACATGAGTGCGACTATGTCACGGAGAAGGTGCGCCCTCCTGCCTCCCTCGCGTTTCCTCCCTTTGCTCCTGGCCATTTCGCCGTGCTCCTTATCTTTGCCAGCTCGTTGGCAATGGGGGGGGGGGGGATGCCTGCCGGAGTGTGAATGTGCCCCGGCGTTGTGTCCCACCACGTGCCCCCGTGCGGGGGCACCGGCAAGCTGGGCCTCGCTTCCTTCTGCCGGTCGGCCGCCGGACCTCATCTTCTTCTGCCTCTGACGCCGGCTGCTTCATGACACTGCCACCTCTCCAGCTGTGGGATGCCCTGGCTGCTGGAGCCATTCCGATTTATCTCGGCCCGCCGGCCGATCCGCCGGGTGCCCCGCTGGACCCGGCCCCCTGGCAGTGGTGCCACCTCGGGGCGGCGTTGCGCTTTTCCCCCCGGCCGATGGGCTGCCTGGATGACGGGCCCTTGGCGGGGACTGGGGGCTCTGAGACTGAGGACCCGGTCGCGGACTGGGAGTTCTTGAATGATCGCTCGACGGTCGGCATCAACGCGGCCGCGGCCCAGGTTGCCCGGGCCATTCATCGGCTGGAGCATTCGCTGGATCTGGCGGCGCGCTTCTTCGCCTGGCGGTCGGTGGTCGACGAGACCGCCGCCGGGGCCAAATTCCGGGCGTTCCTGGCTCGGGTGGCCGCCCTGCAGGCACTCGATCAGATTGAGCTGCTACCCAGCCCCGCTGGCGATCCAGCTCCCGCCGGGCCGAACCCGGGAGGGACATCTGCCCTTCCCCCTCCGACCGAGGAGGATTGCCACGTGTGTCGGCGCCTGCTCCAGTTGAACCGCCGGCCGGGCTGAGGAGAGGGCCACACACACACGCACACACGATATGGGGCCCGGGGGGGGGGGGGGGGCCGGAAGACAAGCCGCGCTCATTGTGGGCTATCCCGCACACCCTGTGGAGCGCGCGCCCAATAGATTTAACGCACATTTTGGGCCTTGGAATGGGCTAGGGTTGCGCCGAGTCGAACATTCCTTGCGCCGGGCCGCGGCCCCGCCCTGCTTTCCCCCTGCTGCATGAATCCGTGCGCGCAACAAACGGGACGAGGGGTTCCCCTTCTCTCAGAAGAGAGAGAGCCCAGGGGCGGCGGGCGCTTCTGACGGGGGGGCCCCCGGCGCTCCGGGCCATGCCCCCAGGCGGATAAAGGGCCCTATCTTCCCCCGGGCTTCGGGGCCCGCGCGGCTGGGCAGAAGCCCTGCGAAAGAGCCATTTAATATTGGGAGCTTTTTTTTCCCAAGCGGCGAACCGAGGGCGGCGAGGGGTGCGCGTCCGTAGATGCATTGTCGCGTGTGCTTTTGCCGGGGGGCACTTCTCGCCGTTGTGATCCGCAGGGGTAGGGCGGCCCAGGGTTCCTTCTCCTATCGAGCAATCTGCCGGTGTCCCGCTCACTCCGTGGGATGCACTTGGCATATGGGTTGGTGATGGCGGTGGTGGTGGTGGTGGTGGTGGTGGTGGTGGTGGTGGAAGGGGGGGCCAGAGGCGACAGAGCGCAGGGCGAGCTCGACGCCCGGGGCGTGCAGGCGTCTGCCCCGTGGCAAAGATATTCACTGAGCCCTTGTGGGGCCGGTCGCTCCGATCGCCGCCAGTGCGTGTGCTTGTGTGTGTGTGTGTGTATGTGGCCTGCCTGTGTGCAGGGGCTTGCATGTAGGGCCAAGCCGGGCGCATAGGAGTGTCATTTCCATTCCCCCCGCTCTCCCAGAGGTCAGGATGTAATTTGTGCAATGCGGGCCCGGCCATCTCCCCCTGGCGGGGGATGATGCCCCCCCCCCCCCCCGCTCCTCCCTGAGAGCCCGATCGGCCGCCATGAGCACATCAGGGGGGGGGGCACCAAGGCCGGATGCCGGTCGAGTCGGGGGCGAGCCAGGGGCGAGCCGTCGGGCCATAAACAGGCCATCCCGCCGGCTGGGGGTATTCTCGACCCGATCGACGCGGGTTCCACATGTGTGCGACACCCCAGCTGGCGTGCCCGTGCTCCGAGGCATCCTCTTCAGCATCTCCCACCCCCCCCCCTCCCGGACGGTGCCTTTCTTTGCCTTTGTCGCTGGCGCGCCGGTTCGCCTGGTTGGTGAGTCTCCCCCGCCCTTTGGATCCCGTCTTCTGGGGGCGGATTTTCTCGGGTCGCAGCGAGGGGGGGGGGCACGCTCGCGCCGACATGCTCACCCCCGCGGGTGTGTGTACACATGTGCCGGGTCCAATCCCGGTCTTGCAAGAGTGTGGCAGCGCCAGTGCCCGCCTGCTGTTGGGCGGGGGGCTCCCTCATGCTGGCCCACCTCGCGGCCACTTGCCTGAAGAGGTTACCTCCTCCCCGGTCCATGGGGCGGTGAATTAAGCAACTCCTGCCAGCCGGTGCGATCGGGTCCAGCCTCTTTCGATGCTCGATGCTGGCCCCCGAAGGAGGAGGGGACGCCGGCTGGCTTCGGGCTTCTTCCCGCGAAGGCTGCCCCACAGGTGTGCGTCCCCGTCTTCTTGCTTCCCCTTCCAGGCGCCGGCTGCTTCTGCCATCGTTTCCGGGCCCGGTCGCGTGTGGGCGGCCTGGCCAAGATGCCCGCCGCAGATGGGAGGCGGGGGGGGGGGGGGGGGCCTCGCGCTCGCGCGGGGTGCCCCTCCTGGGCCGCGGCCGAGGTGCAAGAAATCACCCCAGGGGACATGATGGGGAGCCCCATGGTATTTGTGTGTCTTAGTTAGGGATTTATATGTGCCCGGAAGGGCGGGCCTGGACTTATCAGTTGCCCCGGGGGCATATCTCGGAGACCCCCCACCCCCGCCAGGGTGCGGCCTTGATGCCGCCGTGGTATGCAGCCGGGCCTCCGCCCCCCGAGGGAGGGGGCGCCTTCGCCGGAAGCGACTCCGCTTGCCTGGGCACCACCGGCGCCCTCTTTCCACGCGGCACGAAGGCCCGGCTGCTTGAGGGGGCGGGGGGGGGCGGGGGGGGGGGGGCGGCGCCCGGCCAGGACGTCCCGCCATGTCCCCCCGTCCCGAAGGAAGGCCGGGTGTCAGTATTTTCCAAGCCCGTGCCTGGACATGGTCCTGCCCCCCGCCGAGCGGCTCCCCCCCCCCCCGCCCGGTCCCTGGGCAGATCGTTGTCAGTAGCCAGGCGACCGGGCTCGGCATGGACCTTCGCGGCGGAGCCCCCTTCCATCACAGGTGGCCAGTGTGCATGGTCACAGCGGGCCGGGGCCGGCGGCCGCCTGGCCAGAAGTCTCGGCGCAGTTGCCGAACCGAGCCCAGACTGGGGCGGGGGGGGGGGGGGGGCCAGGGAATGTGGTGCCCCCGCGCGACCCCTTGGTCCGTGGAGAAACAGCCAGGCACATCGCCCCTTCGGTTTCCCCATCGCCCCCCTGCGCGACCCGCCGAAGCCTTCCACCACCGGCGACCGGTGGCAGGGCCCCGTGCCGGTGCGACGCCCCCCCCCCCGCCCCTCGCTCAAGTTAGATCGCCCGTGCCTGGGCCGTTGTGCAGTCCTTTCCCGGGCCTGTGGCCGTGTGTGTGGCCGTGTGTGTGTGTGTGTATGCGGCTGCGTAGAGATGAACGTGTTACCAGGTGGCCTGTTGTGCGCGATGGCCCTTTCGATGTCCCCTCTCTCCCCTGTGGGCATTAGCCACCTGGCCAGTTGGCTGGCCACCCCAGCTGACTGGCTGGCTGGTTGCCGGTTGGCTCCGGCAAACAGCCGGCCCGGCATCGTCACCGATGGCGCATACATACGCGCGCGCGCGCGCGCGTTGCACTCAACTCGGGCCGTCCCGCGCGCGACCCGGCCGCCACATTATCCTCCAACTCGCTCCCTCCCCCCCCCCTCCCACGATTGTGCCTCTCCGTCCTTCTTCCTTCCCCTGTCGCTCCCCCCTCTCCACCCGCGCGCGACGCCGGAAGACGACCCTCGACCCTCTTCCCCCCTTTCCTAGACACACACACACACTCTTTTTTCCCGCCCCCGCGCCGACCGCCGCCTCCTTCCTGCTCTCCGCGGCCACACCCTCCCAAGAAGATGACCGCCTCTTCCGGGCCCCCGCCGATGTCCTCGTCCGGCACGCCGACGCTCAGCTTCGCCGACCACTTTTGGGGCGCCGATGACCGTGGCTTCGATGTCCTCTACGCGCATATGAGCGCCGCCAAGGACACCAGCAAGCTGGTGCTGGAAATCCTCGAGACGCGCGCCCGCTTGGAGGAGGAGTACGCCAAGGGCCTGCAGCGTCTGGCCAAGGCGATTGCCGGGCTCGGAGCCGGCGGCGCCGAGGACGATGCCGATGTCCCGGCTGCCGTGGTGGAGACCACTGCCCCCCGGTCCGGGTCCGATGTCCAGATCGCTGGCGACTATGGCTCCACCAAGAGTGCCCTGGTGACCCTGCGCAATGAGATCTCCACCGCGGCGCAGGCGCACCAGCTGTCGGCCGATACTCTGCGCACGGAGGTGGCCAAGCCGCTGGACGCCTTCATCAGCGACCAGAGCATCGCCCGCAAGCAGCAGGGCAAGATCATGCAGTCGGCCCAGAAGCGCCTGAAGGAGATGAAGGCCAATGCCCTGCGCGCCAAGAAGAATGAGTCCTCGAAGGCTCGCGCGGCTGAGGTCCTCGCCGAGTCGCTTGAGCGTGGTACGTTGTCATGGCCCCATGGGTCCCGCCTTTGGGCTCGCTCTTCGGTCCTGCTTTTTTTTTTTGTCCCCGCGGCAGGCGTCATGCTGGTGGTGATGGAAGCCCTGGTGCTGGATGCTGCCCGCTTTCTCGGGGTCCTCCTCTTCTCTCCCATGCCGATGCAATGCTGACCTATGCCCCTCCCCGCGCCTCCCGCGCCTCCCGCGCCTCCCGCGCCGATAGTCAATAGTCAGCGCAATGAGAAGGAGGCCGAGAAGGTTCAAAAGAAGTACCGCAAGGCCATGGCCGAGGCCGCCGCCGCCGAGCGCGAGCACTCCGAGGCCCGGCAGCGCCTGTTTGCCGCGCACCAGCAGTGGACCACCGACATGGTCACCACCGCGGCCCTGTATCAGTCGCTGGAGGAGGCCCGGCTGGACACGCTGCGCGCTGCCATTTGGGCCTACACCAATGCGGTGGCCACCACTTGCGTGGCCAACGACCAGGTGCGCATGCCGTCTTCCCTGGCCCGTGCTCCTCCATGCCCGCCCGGTGCCCAGCTTCTCGCACCTGTTGCCCGGCTCTGACGCTCTTTCCTCTCGTTTTTTTTCTTCTTCCTGCACCCTCCCCCCACACACGCATGCGTGCGTGCGTACATTCGCAGTCTTGCGAGCGGATCCGCGGCAGCCTGGAGCAGTGCCAGTTTGGTCGCGATCTGGACATCTTTGTCCGGCGGAATGGCACCGGCACCAGCCGGCCGGACGCCGATGGCAACCTCGTGGCCGCTGGCAATCTCGATGCCCCGCCCTCGGCCCGGACGACCCTCTCCCACCGGCCCCCCTCGTTGACTGGGTCCCTGACGTCGTTGAGCTCCTCGGCCGGATCCACCGGCTCGGCCCCGCCTACGGAGACGCTCCCCTCGTCGCTGGATGACACGGCGTCGGTGGCGTCCTTCCCCCCGGCGTCCGCCGTCTCGGACGCCGGCGCTCCGCCGCCCTACTTCAACAGCTCCCAGGCGCCCCTCTTCTATGGTTCGTGTG